AAAAAATCCCCTAGCCATACAATAATGTCTACAGCTTAGCTATCAATACTTGTATTTCATCAGAAAGGCATTTCTTCTAATCATAATGCTTCCAAGGAGTACAGAGTTCTGGGTTCAACATTTTACTTATGTCAGTGTTCCACAGAATCAAACATTTTCTCATTGCCAGCTGGCGAAATTTCAGTGATTTCTTCAGAAATGTCAACATAACTGCATTTGAGTTGAGTAAGCTTTTTTTTTTTTTTCCCTCGACTTGAATTGCTCAACATAAAGGCACTATAAAATATTTGCTCTCAAATTCCACATAAAGCATTTGCAGAGTCTTTCTGGATGCTTGGAGCCAAGCATTCCACAATGGTAAGTCAAAGGTTTAGACTTTTTGTTGTTTGTTTAAAAATGAGGATACAGTAGCTATTTGTTTTAAAACTGCAGGAGAAGGATATTTAAGAAAATCACCTAGTCATACGTTTTTAAATGTGGATATATTCTATCAAAAAACTGCAAGATGCAAAGAAAGTGACACTTTAGTGAAGATTACTGTGAATTGTGTTGTTTTGTAATTCTTTGCAAGAAAGTGTACACATATATCTCTTAGTCTTTCACTTGCTGTTATCCTTTTCTCAGAACTGTTTGTGAAAATGTTCAGAATTTTGTAAATATTTAGGACTGTGCTTAAAAAACCCTATAGATATGAAATATGGTTTAAAATATAGACCCTTTATGATGAAAACTATAATACAGAGTGTATTTCATCTGCATTTCTCCTTTCATGTGTCAAGTTGTGTTCTGTTTCAGCTCTTCAAGCCTCCAGATTTGTTTGCAGAATCTGAATCAACAGTTAGGTAATGCTAAATAGACAAAGCCCTATGGCCCAGTTTTCCTCTAATTTATGCTCATATAATCCCCAAAGTTGCAGACATCAATTACTACCTTTGATGAGAATCTCAGAATGGCATAAGTTTTACAGAATAGCAGTAGTTTCTATAATACATGTAGATTCATAAATAAAGGGAGAAATCATCATCTACTACTTTCTCTGCCTAGGCATTCCTGAGGGCTTGTCTGTACTCAGACAAGTCCTAGTTGAACAAAATGATCTTGTAGGTCATTCCACATTAATTCACCCACTTGCACAGGCCATTAAATCCAGTTTGGAAGATTCTGTTTTGCAACATGGCTAGTGGCATCCCCTTTTTAAGAGAGCAAACAAGCCAAAAAAGAAAAAAAAAATTCCTTGAAGTGCCTTGCTCACAGACCACCCAGAACAACACAACTCTGATGTTTAACTAAGAGCCCTTGGCATCATTGTAACATCTTTGCTATTTTTAATAAGGGATACTGTTTCTGCCAGTGCTTTCTTACCTGTTTGATACCCTCTGTGCTCAGCCTACATATATGTGGGCCCTTTACTGCTAACTGTTGCTTAGCTGGCATAGCCTTTGGTTGTTCCAGCATAAAGCCAGTTTAGACAGCGTTTAGACACCACAGACTTCCTGTTCTGTTTCTGTTTAGATTCAGTGGAAAGTCCAGAACTTTGATCTTTAGAGAGGAGCATGCCCAAGTTCATCTGACTGACATTTCTAGGAATAGCAAGAGAAGGACAAATATTGGAGCAAACAAAGGATAAAACATTCACAGAAGACAGCCCAGCACAGCAAAAGGAGGATTTTAGTCTTTTCTATAAAGACACGTAGTAAGCCAGCAGTAAGACCTCTGGTAGAACTGGCCTGTGCTGTTGCAAACACCTGAACCAGTTTGGAGGAAAGCTACCACCAAACTCAAGATGGATGACTAATATACAGCAAGCAGGATCCAAAGCATGTTGAGATCCTCTGTGGGAAGCTGTGATTCCTTGAGCTCACAAAACCCCAGAGAGCTGCACAACACAGCCCCACAGATCCGTGACAAATGCATGTGGAGCCTCAGCAGAGACCAGCTGCAATGTTACAGCCTACAACTTCACAGAAGAGGAGTTGCTTAGATAATTTTCCTTTGGCCAGTCACCACACAATAGCACAGTTTAAGAGGAGTTTCAGTCTTTCTTCTTAACTTCTCTCATTCTGGCTATGGTGCTCAGCATGGCAACTGGCTCTATTTGACTGCAAAAACTCAGGAACTCCAAATCACAGAACCACTATGGAAATTAAGCATTACAACCTTCCCAGACCACTCCATAGACCCTCCTCCTCACTTTCACCACACCGTAACTATTACTCAGCCCTGTAAGAAAGCAGCACATCAAGGATTAAAATAGCAAGTTTTTTTCCACAGCAGACAGAGGAGATTCCCCTTGGCTCACCATCTGCCTAAGGTTCAGGACCTTTAAGTGTCTTTTGACATTCATGATTCGAGTAATCCAAGGTAGGCATCAGAGCTTCCTAAAAACAAAGCCTCTCACTGCTATTTTAAACCCCAGTTTCAAGTAGCAATAGCCTTTGGAGTTCAGAACAGTAACTTGGAAAGATCTGCTTATTTTACAATCCTTTCATGTTAATCTGAAAGTGCTATCAGGAAAATTTAAATAACTTCCTCTGTTGTTTCTCAGCCTCTGGCCATTCCTAAACTTTTGCCTTAAGTTATCTAGCTTGAGCAATCCATCAAAATAACCCCGTGCTCTCTCATGCTTCTCCAGTCCCTCTACACCAGTATAACCGCCATTCCAAAGTTATCCAGGCTTTTTCAAAAAAGTCCTGCTTGTTCAGCAGTTTCCCGTGGACATCTCTGAAGAGCTCTTACAAATGTTTAGCTGTGGCCACCACTAGGCAAAACAAAGGGTGTTCTGTAATGTGTCCAGGACTGTGTGTGCATGGTCTGACAAGATGGCTCACATGCTGCTAAGCAGAATGTACAGCACTGGAATTTTGCCCTAAGACGCTTATTTGTGTCTCTCTTCCCTACTCAGGCACCTATTTAAGAAAAAATTACTGTAATAGAATTAAGTCTGAGATCTCCACTGCCAAATTTGGGGAAATTGCTGTACCGAAAGCAAAGCCATGTGATGCTATACAGACAGTGGTCTGCTGGAGAAGTAGCTAAATCTGACTCAAAGGCAATAAATAAAGCACTAATAAGAGTCTGATAGGGATTTTAATAAGAGTCTGACAGGGATTTCAACTGTATAATGCCATCAAAGCTTTTTGTGATTTCTAGAGATTGGACTTCAGCAGGGAATGATGCTGCTGACACATTTATGTCATGTCATTTTGTCTCTTCCCACCTAAAGGAAAAAGTCATCAATGCAGTGAAATATCTGGAGTGCCTTTTTCCAACATTTTCACGTACACATAAGGTTATATCTAATTTTTTGCTTCAGGTTCAGTGAGTTATCTTTTGAAAACAAAGATAATCAAAGTGGAATCAAATTAGTGCCATGGGCTCTGTCTCTCTCTTGCAGAACAGCTTTCTGGCTTTCCTTGTTGCAACAAGCATCATAGTGACACTGGGTGATGCATACTGCTTTTCTAAACTGAACAAGCCAGGGGAGACTGACAAAGGTAAGAATGGGGAAGGTCCGCTCACTCAATTGTTCTGTGGTAGCTCGACTCTATGTGAAGCTGCCTGGAAGGGCTCAAAGTACAAGGGAGGGCGGAGACGACAGAAAGACACAAATAGGAGGTTCCAGCACCAAGCTGCCAAAAATAGGGAAAAATAAAGTCTTCCCCTGGACTGGGTATGGTTGCAGCAATATTATGGCTATTGATGGTAGGCTGCTATTGCTATTCCAGCACATGGAGCTGATGCAGGGGTTGAGAGCAGTTCTGAATAAAGTCTGGTGTGAGGTGGCAGACCCAGCTTTTGGGTTGCTCTCTTTCATCCCAGATCTGTCACACTGAAACTGTCTCTAACAAGTGAAGAAGAAACAAGTTCAGGCTCTCAAAATAGTCCAGGTAATAACCCAGCAAACAAAATGACTTCTACTATACTATTGCCAAGAAAAACATTTTCAGAAAGCTTGAAATAATCTTTAAACTTTTCAGCCTTTATGTGGAGGCTTAAAAACACGTTTTATTTTGCTGCTGTCTTATGCAGGCTGTGTCCTGGAAGGAAAAATCTATCCCTTCGGAGAAATTGCAAGGACAGAGAATTGTTTCAGATGCAGCTGCAGCCGAGATGCAATGCGTTGCTGCTCCCTGTAAGTTTGAACTTTTTGGTAACATCAATTGCCCATAGGAAGGCCACAGCTTTCCATTTGCTGGTGATAAATAAGTTTCTAATGGCATAAGAGAGCTTTTCCTCACCCATGCCACAGAGCTAGGGCAAGCCACATATAGCTCGTGATCATTTGGATCCTTGGCTGTGTTTACCTTAGTTCACTTTCTGCTGACTGGGATGGACACAGGCCTTTCCAGACACATCAAGTTGGTGCTTGCCTTTAATTTTGAGGAACCTGTGAACTCCTCTTACACTGCAGTTAAGTCTTTCCTTAGCAGGAAAAGTGGGGTTAGGAAGGAATTCATTCCACAAGTGATTTATGTGAGGCTCCTGTAAAGGGCTTATCATCATCTGAATTCCTTTCTGGAGGTGCTTTTCTCTAGTGACTAGGCTGAAAAGGCTCTGCTCTGAAGTATCTATCTCCACATCCTCCTTTCCTCTTATCCTACCTTCTCAAAGGGCCAAAATGGCTTGATTATGATCGTCGCTTTTGCTCAGGTGACACTCAATCTGTCAGAAAACAGCTACCACATTCTAAGCAAATTTGCAATAATGAAAAATTAATGGGAAAGAGATAGAACATGCCAAGACCATGCTTATGTCACACTGCAGAGTGCTGTGCTAGAAATCCCTAAGCTAATGCTGAGCATACTGGTACATCTACACAGCGCAGTGCAGCAAGGCATTATTTGAGGCCCTGGAAGCTGTAGCTGTGTGGCACTCAAGCTAGCCAGGCTGTCTTAGCCGTAGTTCCAGAGATATCTCACTCAGCATTAGTTCAAGCTATAACAACTGAAGTATTGAATCTTTTATTGCTCTCAATCTAACATTTGGTTTCTCTTTGCTACTGACAGCTTTCATACTCCTATTGGTTATGACAAAGAGAATTGTAAAGTTGTTTTCAACAAGGAAAGCTGTGACTATGATGTGGTGCAGAGGAGTGACGCCTCAAAGGAGTGTTTTGTCTATTCTCGTGTGGGCTAACAACCCACCTGCTCCAAACCTCTCTGCACCATGGAATTCCTCCCCTTCCTGCAGATGCTTTACCATCACAGAGAAGCTTGAAGACATGGGAGATCTTGTAAGAGAGAGTACTTCAGCCGCTCACTTCTAATCAAATTGTTCTAATTCAGTATACAAGGTGCATAGTCAGATACAATGTCTCATTTCTGTCATTACTTGCATTGGTATTGCTGAGCTTTTTTGAATGTAATAAATCCAGATGAAACATCAAGAAATGCTTCATAATGATGGTTCTTTCTTTTTAATAACACAGGGCAATGTCACCTTCTCTGAGAAAAAAATGCACTCGCCTCACTACTCTGACATGCCGTGCACCAGTACCCCAGCACAAGCCTCTCTCACACTTCACAGGTTCTGTTCTAGCCAAGGGTCAGAGCAGACATTTTAGCTCACCAGGTGTCAAAATCCATTACCGTTTGGAAGGGATGCACTGTACAATGGCTCCTACTCAGGGCAGACAGGACACACTTGAACTGCTGAAGGAATTTTGGCAAGACCCTTGCTGCTAACACCTGTGACCTGAAAAAAACTGAGGTGGGGTTTTTTCCCCTTCTTTTCAGTAATGTCGGCACTCAATAACAGTGACTGCTCCTCTCCATTACCAACTTTGACCTGCTGCCAGGTGTCCTCCTCCAAGCCCCACTTCTGAAAGTCTGCACATACTGCACTGCATTAGTGGTTCTTGCCCACACTGAAAAAGAGATCTAGATCAGCCCCTGGAAACATGCTTCCTCATGGCAGCAGAGCACTAATAAAAGGCAGATGCCTTCTGTCTCCTCAGTATAAAAGTTCCCCGCATTCCCTAGGGAGAGAAGTCCAGCCAGTGAGGGGCTTCAAAACCGAATCTCCCACCTGGCAACTGGTAATATACTAAATCTGCCCACACATATGAGACCAAGCAACAATACCCTGTAAAATACTGCTTCGACATGGCCTTTTTGCTCCAGAATTGAGTATTAAAAAACCACAACAGTCTGCAGTTAACTATTGTGTGATTTGTAAAGAAACACACCCTCCAGGACAAGTGGACTAATGATGCTTCATAATCACAAGAAGTCTGTTGTCTTGTAAAAGTATGAGGTTACACAAAGCTGAGCATTCTTAAGGCAAGGAGCCTTACTTGGCCCAAAATCAGACTATATTTATTCAGCAGGGGTACTTGCTTCTCAATACAACCTGTTTCAACCTCTGCAAGCCATTGGTAAAATCAGAAGGATTTAATGCGGCATGTTTTCTCTGGCTTTGTTTTTGGTAGTTTGCCTAAATCTAAACTTTCTCATGGCATCACTTAAGATACCTCCTTTTGGGAAGGGAATCCAAGCATTTTGCAAGCACTGGTAATTACATATTTTGTCATATATAGTTCTCTGTACTGTGGGTTGGGTATCAGTCAATAACTCTGTGTTTCTGTACAACTGGTTCCTGCAAGGCTGAAAAAATATGAGAGGCCAGAATTAGAGTCAGTTCAGCGTTTTCTAGTGTAAACATTTGCATACGCCTTTTTAAAATCTGACTTCCATTCACTGACTTAATCATGTCATTCCTCTAAACAGCAACATGTGGAAATGAATGTTCTCACGTTGCTTAAGGTCCTAAGGTAAGGTTTTGCCAAAGTGTTTTTGTACCCTGCAGGAGAGGAAAAGTTTTGAAATTTGTCCTGAATGACTTTTCCTCTTTTCTGCCAGCTCATGTCAAAATTACACAGAACACAGCCTCAGCTGGTACCTGAAGGAATGTTCTTGCTTACAGAATAAACAGCTGCAGCTTCTTAGGGGAAGTAATATTTTGAGTATGGAGATCCAAAGACTTTCTACCTAAATAGCTCACAGAACTGTTTCGTAAGAAAAATTTGTTTTAATTTTTTTAAAAATCCTAGTTTTAAAAATAAACATTTTCATGGCTAACAAAAGTGACTTGGAGGTTCCTCATGGATTAATTTTTAATTTGAAGCACCGAGAACTACTTTTTGGAGTCTGGAACCGTGATACTGGAACTATTTCAGTATTCCAAGTTTTTCCCTACCAGAGTCTTACAAATTAAGAATACATTTTTCTTCTAAAACTTATGAAAGTTAGTTTATTATCTCATAAGGTCCCATTCACGTTCTTAATACTGGTAGTTCCTCAGTAAGACCTCATATTTTAAGTGATTTCCAGATACTTAGTTAATTTTTAAATTAAATAGAATTTCATTCTACTTATTACCTTATTGGCGCATTTATTTATTTATTTGTTTGTTTGATTATTTATTTATTTATTTATTTATAATTCAGTGCCTTCTTATCTTGTAAGAGTCCCAAGAATTTCTGTAGAATTTAGGTGCCAATTTTCTTACAGATGAAGATGACTTTCTCAGTGCAAGAAGATTTCTGATTTACTGACAGCACCCGTAAAAGCATGACTCACTGAAACAAGAAATCTAGCACAGGCTTTGGATCTCATTCTTAATATGTTCTTTAAGGTCATGGGACTGGAAAGAACCAGCACATTTGACCAATGTGATTAGCACATGCTTCCAGAAGTTATTCATGGATGAGGGAAGCCAATCTTCCACTGCAAGGGCACCTTCTTCACCACATGTACTTGAAGCAGAATCTGAACAGGTCAGCTCAAAGAAGAGCTAGCACCAGAGAAGCAAGAAAATGAATTCTGGTGAGTTTACCAGGTCAAGGAAATGTAGAGAGAATTTACCTAGAGGTGCCAGTGAACAGTCTGCCTTCAGCAAGACATAGAAATTCCCTCCAGATGTTTTAAAAAAGGTATCTTTTTGTTTCAACATGCAACTGTATTGGATTTTCTATTGCCTGAGTAGCTGGCACTACTTAAACTTTTTTTTCCCTAAATAAAACAATTTTAGCAATGAAGCTCAGGAATCTGGAGTCTGTCTTGCTATAAAATGGAAAGCCTGTCTACTGAAAGGGAAAATCCTTAACAGCATTGCTGCAGGTAATTTTGGGGCTTTTTTTTGCATTCGTGAGCTGATCCAGCTGCAGGAAAGAAAACACTGTTTTTTACAGCAGTGTTTCCTGAGCTTACTTCTTGGCACCACTACGCAACGCATATAGTTATTATGAACTAAACAGCCCAAGCACAATTCTGGTGAAATGTGCCAGTGATAAGAGCCACAAAAGCCCTCTTGATGTTGTTCTGTTCCAGTTGCTGCCCATCAGGAGCAGACAGGAAGGGTACAGGACAAAAAGTGGGAGGAAGCAGAATTTTATAGTTACAGTGGAAAACAGTAGAGAAGAAAAAAGAAGAAAAGATCCCAACAGCCAAGATGTCCCATGGATCTGGCTGAAGCATTCTGTGGCTGCCCTCCCCACCCCAGTCTGTTCTGAGTCCATGCAGCAATGATAGCCAACCACTGCATTTTATCTTCATGGAATCAGAGACTAATAAGCTTATAAAATGCAAACAAGCTCATGCTCTCTAAATAGAGCTGAAATACTGTGTAGGTGAGTTATACACAGAATTAACTGAGCTTTCCCCCTGAAAAAGCACAGAAGTCACTGAACTAAGTAACTGACAGTATAAAACTGAAGTTAAGCGCCCTTTCATTTTGTGCATGCATGTGCAGGCTGTGTTGAAGTTGGAAGACTGCATAAATTTGGTACCACCTGAAAGATCAAAGGCGCACTTCCAATGGTAGTGTGGCCAGAATGGGGTCCACTATTGCACCGTGTACGTTCTACAAAGCCAGAGGCACCAGTGGCAAGAACTGCAGCAACACTCCCACCAGTCACCCTTCCTATAGCTGACTCCTTAAGTCACACCTCCATCAAAAATTCTCTGCTTTTTCATAGACTTACAATCTTCATTTGCTTAATCAGCTGCAGGGTTGGGATAAGAAGCTGCATTTGGAATCACTGTGGTTTTTTTTGTTCTGGAATACAATTTTCAGTTATCTTCTGCTTTACCAAAGATTTCTAAGATCTTTTTGTTACCGTGTGGCTTGAGGTGGAAGTTAGAAGTGTAGGAAATATTGCATTTCCTATAAATTGGAGATCTCTTTTTGGCTAGCTCTGTCACTCCTTATCCATTTTGTTTTATTGCCTCTGGACATTTGTCCTTGCTGCTATGGTATCTGTGGCTATCTTCCTCAGTGCTACGCACACTGCAGAGATGTAGGTCTCCTCCTTGCAAACACAGCCTGACATTTGCAGTTCATTCTTTAGGTCTTCTTGTATGTCTCTATGTCCATTTCTTAGCACTGATCCTTCATCTGGAGATCATGACCTGATAGGGTTTTCCAGACTAGCTGAGGAATTACCGTGCGCTTTAAAAAAATGCATTTGCGCCTTAGCAAGAGTGAACTTTGCTTACCCACAGAAATAAACGGGGAAAAAAAGGAAGTGTTTCTCATCCCCCTGAAATTGCATTGAATTAAAACTGAAATTTGTCCCAGGGATGTGGACTCTGCTACATATGGAAGGAGAAAGGGGTATTCAGATCAGAGAAGTGACATTGCTGTCACCAGTTTGGGTCTCCCAGCTTGAATTGAGACCTCAATTCAAATTTCTGCTGTGCCACGTTGCCTGGGACAAGTCACTCACACCACCTGTGCCCCTTGCCTGTGAAATTAATACAATTGTTTGCCAATTCCTATACCAGGAGAGATCTGAGGGCATAGGCTTTGAGGCTTATGTGTATATGAACCTCAGGGTTAACAAAAGTGTTCCCAGCAAAATAAAACTTCCTTCTACCACATTTACAATATGTTTCTGTGTCAACAGTGCACCATAAGTTTTAGTACTGTTTGCTTGTGCTTTTCCTTAAAACAGTTGTCCTTTCTCACATGCAAATGTGGCAGACTTTGTTTAACAATTGTAAAACCAGTGTACATTATACATAGCATTGTTGGTTTAAGGTCAAGACAAATTTATTTGTAAAATTGTGTTTATTTATGATCTGTGAGCCGATATGCCTCATGCTTTCTCTTCCTTTCCCCCTCTCAATGGCAGTGGTAGTCAACCTATTGGTTTTAATGCTTGGATACATGAACTTATCTTCTATAGGCAGAGTCCTGCACTTACTCTGTCCTGAAGAAAACTGATCCCTCTCAAGAATGTGAGACTAGTACTGAAATGCTGGGTTAAGAAACAAGGTTCCTAGAATGCTTTCCTGTTTTCATTCTGGTGCATCTCTTCTAGCTTTAAGTTGTTCATAGAGTAATGCTTTTTATAAATATTAGCTAGTTTATTGCATTTTTAAATAACTGTACTACTTTGAAATCATGCTGTATTTCTCTGTTGATTGCCTATCACTGAAAAACACAGAAGCAACAAGACTGATAATCTTGCATTACTCTCGTTATCTCTGTGGTCATCAGTGAGGTGTAACCAGAAATCCCAGCTGAAGAAAGACTAAGTAAAATAGTGAGATAAATCTTCCAGAAAGTCACAAAGATTTTTTCCCTGCCTTAGGAAGAAACAGGATACTCTGTTCATCAGCATAAGTGGAAAGAGGGCACAGAATTGGGCAGAGCACTGATATTCTCCGAATGTTTTTAGTAAGAAATAAACCAGTTGGGAAGACAACATGAGATTTCAAAAGAGCAGTGTCTGTTGGAGATACTTGTTCACCACACAAGCAAGGCACCTACCATCCTGTACAGGAACAATGTGAAGAAGAAATGCGACATAATATGGGCCAAAAATGACCTCAGTAATCAGTATATGAATGGACTATTTTCCTGACTTGGCTGGGATAGAATCACAGGCCAGCCATGCTAGGCAGGCCATTAGCAGTTTCAAGTCAGCCAGGGCAGCTGATCCAAGTCAGCTACAGGGGTAGCCCATCCCATGTTGTCACGCTCGTTATGAAGGGCGAAGGTTTGCTGAGGAAAGGGTAGTTCTGACTGGGATTCCTCCTGCTCCTGAGGACTGATGGCCAGACATTCTAGGCTGAGTATAACTTTGTATACTTTATTTGTTTTGTTGTTTCATTAAATCTGTCTTTGCTTCAACCTTCAAATCTCCAATCCTTTTCCCAATTCCCCTTCTCAACTGGGGAGGGACCATTGGGTGACAGAACAACTGCTATAGTTTAGCCCCAAGTATGGGCTAAACAAAGACAACTATCTACATAGATTTTGCTGCTCTGAGTGATTTCAGCACCACAGCATGTTGTTAGGGTCCCCTGAGTTCACAGATCATGAGAAGAGCTTCTTTACTTCTTCATAGCTAGACACTGCCCAGGCTTAGACAAGTCACTACTTGCTGTGTTCCAAAGAAAGCTGCTTGAAATAACTTCTCTCCATACCTGGCACAGCTTACATATAGAAAACAGTGAGGGTTCTGCAGTGGGAACAGCTGGGTGATCAACTGCTTGTCTGAAAAGTTGAGAGAGAAAACACACATGTGCTTTGGTTGGATTTTTGGGGTTTTTTTTTGGAGCTGAGCAACAAACATGTTTTCTGTCACTCAGCACCAAACCAGCAAGTTGACTGGGTTTTGGCTGTAACAAATGCCACAAGTTTCACTCCAGTACGTCTGCATCACAAATTGCCGTGTGCCTCATGACTTCCGTTCACATACAAGAAGCACTGCAAGGTGCCTGTTGAACAAAATATTGCATGCAAACTCTACAAAACGCAAGAAGAAAAAAATTAGATAGCTTAGTAATATTAACAAAATTAAGGCGATGTAATTTGATGGTCCTTTTCTTCCAAACTATCATGGAAGACTTGCTCCAGATTACCTTTGAGGACATAAAGGAGCCAATACCTTGAACAGAACTCTGTGGTACTTCCTGCAGTATTGTTAGCCAAGGTGAAATAGTTACTTCTCAGCACATAAAAGTTACAAAGAACAGGTATGCAAAGCTAGGGCCCATCCTTAGCCATCCCACAGATGTAAATCAAGCATAGGAACAGGACATCAGAAAGGAGAGTATGAACTCTCCCCATCTTCACTGCAACCAACACAAAAGGCAGCTTTGGCCTAGGATCAGAGTGTATTACTTTGTCATCTTACTGAACCTTTTTTCCCCATTAAATAGAACAATGCATATGCTCTGAAATACCTCCTCTGATATACCAACAGTATCCCAAACTGCAATGATGCTGTTAAATTGACTTCATACATATTTGTGAGAGATCCAGAGGGGATATGTGGACTCTATTGATGTCAGTAAAGAAATTGCCAGTGCCTGTACTGACATGTTCAGTTGGTTCTCCAAAGATCAGGAATTCCGATCACGAGCTGTGTGGCTGTGGGCAGCCATCTGCTGTTTCAGGGCAGTGCATACATCAGCATTGCCAAATCTAACTTATTAGTGATAGGATGATTGTGATTATCAAACCTATGAACACCTGCAAGAACTTACAGCTTGTTTCTGCCATCCTGAAGAAAGAACTGGTAACTGAAGAAAAAATTATTTACTCAGCCTACTGAGTTGAAAGCCAGCTAAGATGTCCCTGTGAGTAGTGGTCCCACTGTGGCCTGCATTGCAATAATGCTAGCCTTCTCATATGGGCTTCGCAAGCTAGCCCTCAACTCTGGAGTTCGGATAGAAGACGTGGAGTAACCACCCCAGCTCAGAGTTCAACCTCTACTCCCAAACCTACACAACAAGGCAACATGATTAGGCAGTCAGAGTAGTTAGTTCAGGTATCGCAAACTGTGCAGCCCTTGTAATAAGGGAAGACTTCTTCACCTACCAGGGCTACACAGTTTGAAATATTTGAACCAACTGGATCAAAGCTGAGCAAAGTGGGACTGTACATGACTCCTTTGCTGTCAAATTACTGGCCTAAGCACTTGGAAAGTGCGTCTGCCCCTGACATGCACACCCTGCAGAAAAGAGACCATTTCTCCCTGGCTACAAAGATTAAAGAAGAAAATATATGTTGCCTATTTTTTCCCAGAGGACCTGAGCATATGGGTCTTCTACATGATGGAAAACTGAACAAGGAAGAAAATTGTTGTCTAGGACCCTTTTCTAAGGGTTCTATGCCAGGTGCTCTCCACAGAAACCCTGCTTTACATGTAACCCTTCCAACCACCACCCCTTTTCCACAAACGTCTTCTTTTGTCTTCAGCTGATAAACAAGAAAGCTGGATGACTGTTCAAAGTTCCTCTCCTTTAAAACCTAGATAGTTCAAACTAAGCATTGCAAATTTTGTTGTGAGTGACAATCACAACATCTTTAATGGGTTTCTTAGGGCGAAAGCTAAATATTCCTTCCAGGCTTGAAATTCTTTTTGAAGTACCTCCCATAATTGCGTTCCAGATCTGGTGTTGCACAAAAGCCACACCTATTTCTTCAGTGCCATTTAGAACCAAACTTTCGTGTATATAATTGGCTTATTTTAATAACATCCACCCCATGAGGTCATTTTGCAGAAACTTCATTGGAGTTACGCATGCATGTTCAGTTTGCTTAAGGACTGGTATCATAAGTTCCATCTGTATATAAGTTCTCTGAGAAGATGAATTTCCTACAGGCTGTCTTCCTCCTGGAAGCCTCATAATTCTGCAAGAATGGTGAGTCCTTACATCTTAAACTGTAAAAGACCATGGTATGTTGCTATAGATTTTTAAAGGAGGCTTTGTTGGATTAATCTCAGTACTTGGAGATCTAAGCAACTTGGAGAAAGTACAAGTTCTGTGTTTTGAGAGCAAAAGTCAGACAGAGAGGCACAGGCAGGTAAGAACCTCAGGTAAAATATATCAGTATGCATATGGCAGGAGATGTCTAATAGGACTCCATCTAAGGCTTTTTTTATAACCTGTTTTCACTTACATGTAATGTTTGGAGAGAGTCTCTTTTCTGGCAGGAAACAGCTCTGTTGTGTCTCAACCTAGAACTGTCCTTCATTTTTGTGAAAAGTATGGATAATGTCTGAACATTTAGTTAAACTCATAAAATCTTGATTTTTACTTATTCACAGCTCTGTTGCAGTTCTGTGGGCTTTAACCTCTCCTGCAAAATATAGTGCTAGTTTTTCCTCCTCTCATCTCCCAGGTATGACTTCTTTTAAAAGTCGCCTGTGCTACTCTGTCCAAAAGAAACACACATATGTACAATGTATGTGGGTGTATGTATGTCATTGTTTATTCCTGGTCTACCTTTCCTCTATTATCAAGATTTTAAATTCATCACAGCTAATTTTGTCCTAGAGTTCTCGCACTTATTTCCTTCATATCCCAAATGAAAGCCCTTCAAACATTTCAAACTAATATTGAAGGATAAGAGACTAGCTGAGGAATTTAATCTGAACTTTCAGAAAAAGCTGCTAACAAAGGTCACAGAATACAGACTTATCTAGGTTGGAAGGGAGACCTGCAAGTCATTTGGTCCAGCCTCCTGCTCAAAGCAGGGCCAAGTCTTGTTCAGCTTCAGCTAAAGTTCTCAGTTTGTTCCTAATCCTTCAATATTAGGGTGAAACATCTAGTGGATTCTTCAGTGTCCAGTGAAGAAATCTTTACAACTGTGAGTGAGGTTAGTGGCAGAGACAGTTGATGATCAATCCTATGGAGAAAATAAGGGGGAAAAAAAATGAATGGAGAAGGGAAAGGAATAGAACACACACATTTCACAAACAGTATCTGGGTCTACCAGTCCTATATCAGGCAAAGCTTGATTTTAACATCTTGGAAAGACAGACTTTTTTTTTTCCTCCCATATGATGCTCTACCTCTGCTTCTTCTAAATAGTTCAGTGTTTCTAATTGCATCTTAAAATGTCTAAACCGCAAAAGACGATTGGATTTTGATTTGAAGCCACAATGTATTTTCCTATTTCTAATGGTAGTATTTATCATCAAGATGTCTTAATAGTTACTTAAGTATTTATATGACTTCTGCTTTCTTGTTCAGAAAACCATCTTGGCCTGTCTCCTTGTTCTTGCCACTAGTGTGCCACAGTTCAATGCGTCTTGCTTCCAGCAGCCATCGAAGCCATCTGACAGTGAGATAGCAGGTAAAAAGTAAACTGTCCTCAACTTGACAGGTATCACCACAAGCACTGCTTGATTTGATTTGTCCATTCTGTGCAATTTATCACAATTTAGAAATAAGTGGAAACAGGGGAGAGAAACCACTAGGAAATTGCAGGGGAGAAATGGGGTATGGAGATTAGGGAATTTATAACATATAAAAAAGAAGAGTTTATCTGAGGAGCATCACACAGGCCAAACTACAAATGAATTTTGTCCAGGGAGGTAACATAGGCTCAGTTTATCCATCTGCATGAAGTAATAATCCATGTTTTCACTATGGTAGCATGTTTAGAAAGACAGAGAAGGGCCTTTCTCTATATGTGTAACAGATAAGTAGGTGTTCAGCACACTGATTAATTTACTCATTAGTTGTTTCCCTGTCCCAAGGCAAGTCCTTAAGAACAGAATGGCCACTTCCCTGGAGTCTGGGACTGCTGTTCCTGAACACAGCTAGTCTATCAGTCTACAGATGAGTGGAGCTGCAGGAAAATAAGCACTCAAGAAAGAAACATGCAATTATTTGGACACGAGAAGAGCTGATATGTGCCAGTATGCACAATAAACTGCCTCATAAAAGAGATTTTTCTGGGAAAACAAGTGCTACTACGAGAAAAATGAGTTAACATTGCCAAAGAAACAGGCAAAGACACAACCTAGAACCTCGAAATCCTCCACACTGTCTTGCCTTGTCCTCATAGAATCATGCTTTCCTGATGACTTATTTAGGAAGTCTATTCTGTGATTGTTGGCAGGAACTTTACATACAATATATGCTTTCTTCCTGCAGCTGAGGACTGGGAGAAGTTTTCCAGGCAGATTTAGTCTTGCTCTAAATGAGGAGTCAACAATAGTTGGTGTTAATGGGGGGGAAAGTCAAAATATTTTCTTAATTCTGACCAGGTCTGTGGCTAATGGTCTTTCTGCTGGGTGCTCTGATTCCTGTACTTAAAGATGAACTACTCCAGGAAACCTGATGTTACTGAGAACCACAGGAAACAGAGCAACCCAGGATACCCTTCTCCATGCATTAGAATAGTAGCAGTCCTGCTCTGTTGAGGAACCTCCGTGTTTGCTAGATAAAGATGTTAATGTAAAAAGCCAAAAAAGATCCCACCCATTTTGTGCAAGCAATAGCATTGTTAGTGCAATAGGTCTGACACTGAAGGCTGCTTGCACCCTATGTTTTCAGGCTGCCATGACAGGAAATGAAAGCCGCATGAACTGAGATCCAGCTGGAGGACTGATAACTACCTTGATTGCCACTGTTCCGGAATTGAATGCTGCACCAGGTGAGTTCAGAGCAGCAGTGGGGGTTTTCCTCCACTGCCATTATACAGCACAAACCACTTCACACAGGGATCCCTGAGAAATGACTGCAACACTTCTCTCACTCACTTCATATCACAAAGTTATGCATTAACCCAACACTGTCATCACTGAGCATGCAAGAAGTTCCTCTGACAAATATTGATCATGTTTAACAAATAATTATTGATTTTTTTTTTTTTTTTAAAAAGATGATTTAATTCTTCTTGGGGCTAAAATTGCAGGCAAGATACTGATTCAGGAGGGAGAACGTATAGTTACTTAATATTCTACTGCTCCTAATCCAGATCTTCCCAAAGCCACAGATTGCTCCCCTTTGCACTGACAAGCAGCTCAAGATACACTGACCTGCCTGTAGTCTTTCCTATAGTGACACCCAACTACTCACGCTAGTCCATACTGTGGTTGAAGAGAAAAAGCAATGATATTGAAGTAGCAAATAAACACAACAAACAACCCTTCCGTGTAAATCAGATCAGTAAGCTACAACTCTCCCCTCATCCTGCTTAAGCAGCAGGCTAAGTAACATTTGAGGTGAGAGCTTTGTGTGAGCTCCCTTTTCTGCTCCTGAACACCTCCTCAGTATAGCTCTTCATATTAAAAGTGTAGATACCATCTGAAATGGAAGCTATTTACTTCTTGGTCTCATCACATCTTTGTCTTTCTTCTCCCAATGACAGCTATATGACACCAGTTAACTACGATAAAGAGAAGTGTGTAAGGATTTTCATGAAGGAGACCTGCGTTTATAAAGTGGTGGAAAAAAATGATCACTCAAAAGAATGCCCAGTCCGTGAGCGGGTGGGCTAACAGAGAAGGCTTGTGGATCTGTGGGATATTTCCTTTTTTTCTTTTAGGGGTTCTCTTTCACACAAATTCAAAACCACTGAAAAATGCAGCTGTTGAGTGAAATCTACTCATAAAACCTAACATGTAATAAAACTGCATATCTACTCACAAACAACTTGCTTGGTTTCTCTGCCTTCTCCTTTCCCATGAAGAAAGAATTGATTTATTCCTTCCTTGAGATCAGAAATTAAAGCTGACATTTTTAAGCATCCCCAGTAGCTGCTAATTTTAATTATTCTCTAGTCGCCCTTCAGTGCCAGGGAGTATATTCTGTTATCTGTGCACAACTGTATATTAAAGCTAAAATAAAATCAGATGAAGCACCAGAAATTCATGTGACTTTTCTTCTTTGAGGATGGAAATCTAAAGAATTAACATTCAAAAAAAAAAAAAAAAAAAGGGAAAGAAATGAAAAATTACTTAAAAATCTTTCTCCATGGAGCCTGCCCAACCTATGGACTGCAAGAGCCACCAGCTACCCAGTCTAACCCAGCACTATACTTCCATTGCACCCACAGCACAGCAGACCCAGTCCTCAACCCTGGATTTGGGTAAAAGAAAAGGTCCTTTATTCACACTAACTATTAAGAAATTAAATTATTACATTTAAATTAATAGAATTAAATTATCAATTATTAAACTTATTAACTTGGTCAATGGGCAGGATTGTGGCTGGATAGAGACACTGATCTGGACTGGGTTCAAACAGGGAAGAAGCTCAGCAAAGCCACAAATAATAACTGAGAGGGATACGCTTGCCAGCATAAGCTCTCCCTCTAGGCACTACTTCATAATATTTATGGGTACATTTGTTTAGTTGCCTCTTTCCACAAGTGACTATGAGCATCCTATGTCTCCATGCTCTATTTCCCCGTAACAGAAAAAGCGTGTCAGAGCTTCCATAGTTCCTCGTTTCAAGTTATGAAATGGGCACATACCTTGTCAGCAGGGCACAGTCCTGCTGTCTGCAGGGGCAAGGCAAACCTCAGCTTGTGTCGGCCTTGATTACATGTGCTTCAGTGAGCAACACAGGACTCTAGGATTTACATTCCAGTGTTTTATCCCACCTTTGCTTCCCTTTCTCCTTCCCCAGGAAGACAACTCTGTTGCCTAAACTTTTTTTAATTGCTTGCCACATGGCCTCTTCAAAGAGGACTTGCAGTAATGTACTTTATACAGCAGCTTACAAGCCAAAGTCGTCAATGTGTAAACAGACTAAAGGTGTCACAAAGCCCATAAAGCACTTAGATCAAAAGCAGTAACAACTACATCTACTGGGAGAAAGGTAAGAGGGTTCTGTATGATTTGAGCTGCATCTGAAATGCAGCTGCACGGCTTTCTCCTTTCTTGGCTTCCAAAAGAATGTGCAACACTGGTTGAGGTCTTGTGCTCCCCATCAGCTGAGACATGGGTGTCAACAGGCTGCCCAGGAGCAAGTGTAAGATTGGGTTGTAATTGAACTGATGTTTTTATGAAGCCCAAGAAGATGCTGTATGTAGAAGTTCAGACCTTAACACCAAAAATACTAGTTTGAGAACAAGGGATACCTCTTCCCTCATTATCTTTAGGCAGTGGGATTTCAACCAAGTAATTAGCAGAGCTAGTCTGACAATCTGTCTGTTACAAAACCCATTTATTTTGTAGTTTACCTCCAAATTCACCTGAAACTGGCTGCTGAATTAGGTTTTTTCTAACATCTACTCATATCTGGAAGTTACTGAGCTCTGCTTATGGTGTATTTAGGCACAGTCAATTATAGTTCAATGTGGAACAAACTTTGTAACCAACTAGACACAGATCCAGAGTTCATAATGCTACTGAGGAAGACTACAAGCTAGAGAATATAAAGACTAAGAATATAAAAGTAATCAAAAAGCAAGGTGCTTTGACGACATTTCTGAAGGCAGGGGTGTGAAGTATGGAGACACCTACTTCAGAACCCGTGAATTATTCATTTCCTGCAGCACCATAGCCTAAACTGAAATTGTTGATGAGTCTGGAATTGTGACCCTCATTTGACTAAAGCTGAGCTTTGCATTTATGGTCTCTGTATACAAGAGATCAAGTTCTATGTGGTCTTCCAAAAGAGGAGGTAATTTTTCTCCTTTCTACCATCTTCCTTCTCTGCTCAATTAATTCCTTTTCTGCATCACTAGTTGTTCTGAGGGCACCAGTCTTTTCTATTCTGCTGCAGATCATGATCTGATCTCTGAAACAGAATGAAATCCACTGAAATCCATTTACCTGAGCTTCTCACTGTGTGCTTAAGTTTGCCAGTTTCAGTACTCTCAGACAGAGTAGCAGCAGATGAGGCATCCCATTATGTACTGTCTGAAAATTGTCCAAAGGCTGGGAGCATTACAACTCCTGAGTTATTTCAGATGGACTCTATCCAAGCATCAAGGCCATGAGAGGAAGTTTAAGAAACGGGCTATTATTCTATCTCTTATCTTACAGCTGCCACCCATGTACAGACAGGATTCACATTCTCAGACGTGAATCTTGCTGTTTACAGCAGATAGAACATTCAGATTCACAGCCTGTCCCAATATCCAAAATAGATGAGCAAAAATTTTGCCTGCCAAAAGGAGATGGCATTTGCGAGGCCATCCTGATTTGCTATAGCGGAATGGAGTTTGGACAAATCATTTTGGAGCTTATGTAACAGTCTTCAGCCTTTTTTATACAGCACAAAGCAGAAATTTTTCTCTGTGTTATTGCCATCCTGGCAGCTGATGCAATTTAAGCCCCATCCGCAAAGAGGAACTTGTCCTCTTACTAGATTTCTTCTTGCAGTAATAAGCTGCCTTTACCTCAGACTGCAGCTCCCTGATTGGTTTAATCCAGTGCATGTGCAGACTGTTAGTTTCCTACTTGCCTCTAGCTACGGCCTTCCTTAATCTAGCACTAAAATTTTTTTTCTGGTGTTCTGGACAAACTCATTGTTCTGGATGACCAGCCCCAAGCCCTTCAGCACCTGCCAAAGATGCTGAAGTTGGTTTAGAACAATTTTGGAGCTGCACCAACATACTTGCACATACAATCACTACTCACCTACCACACAGCACATGTGTTTCTTGGGAAAACTGGCTGACAGTGTGACTACAAGCAGAAATACTAGCTTGCCTCTTCTATTTCTACTTCCCACTCTCACCTGCTTGGAAAGCTCAAGACTTACCGTTCACAATCTATCCACATTCAGTGACATTGCTTGGGAGACACTGTCCCCATTAGCAGTTGGGCCACGAGCCTGTTTACCTCCCTTTGCAAGCCTATGCTAAGAGAAAGCATATTTGAAGGCATCTTCTAATGACACTGTGCCTAGCATGGACTCCAGCACTTCAAGGTTGATGCTAGAGGACTTGGAAATACTTTGTGAGAAACTACTGCACCATGAGGCATGGGAATTGTAGGGCTGCTATTTCTAGTTTCCACCAAAGGAGGTGACACAGGAAGGGCAGCAGCACAGATGGAAAGAGACTTTTTACCAGGGCCTGTAACAAGGTGTAAACGTTTTAAACTAAAAGAGGGTACATTCAGATTACATATTAGGAAGAAATTATCTACTGTGAGGGTGGTGAGACACTGGAACAGGTTGCCCAGAGAAGTTGTGGATACCCCATCCCTGGAAGTGTTCAAGGCCAGGTTGGCTGGAGCTCTGAGCAACATGATCTAATGGAAGATGTACCTGCCCCTGGAAGAACTAGATGATCTTTAAAGGTCCATTCCAAACCAAACCATTCTATGGATATCTTTCTGTCTGCAAGAGACTTCCAGGTTCGGTTGTAAGGCAAGTCCATAGAGGACACAAAGTCTAAAGTAAGTTGTGACCAAGGATTTACTTTCCTTTTTCAGGCTGAGAAGACATATGCACCCAAATTCCAGAAACGTCAGCCTGAACCAGCACTCTTACATGATCCAGACCTATTTAAACACATTTTAAACCCACCCAAGCACCTTCCTCCACCATCTGCCAAGACTTGTTATGACATGTGAATCTACCCTGTCTGCCATGCAGAACTAGGAAAGATTAATTTCATGTCTAATCCAAAAAGCCTCCAGCGAGCAGTCTGCTATCCTCTTCTCTGCTCCAGGTTTCAACATGGAAAGAGATGATGTTACCTATCGCAACTAGTTTTGGAATACCAGAAGCACAGCAGCAGCTTGGCTCCTTTCTGTAACAAGGAGTCTAGCTGTGAGAGGATGATAAAATCCTCAAAATCAAGAAAGCACAGGCAGAGTGTACAAAACTCTGCTTCGCTCTTCTCTCTTTTGCCAAGTGATGGTTTGTCTTCGCATTTCACTACTTCAACACACAGAGCTACAGTTCCATACAAAGAATACATGCCTCCACCCTCCGAGCTTTAGATCATAACACTGCTAGCTCCACATAATGGAAAGGAAACATTCACAGAAGAGCTTCCTCAATTATCCCAACATGTTAAAGGTTTAAGAGACTCTGCAGACCCTTGGGAGGCAACGCAGCCCAGGCAGAGCAGAAGAGGTTGTGTGCTCTCTTCCCCCTAGTTTCCCTCTCTCCACCTGGTAGCACACAGCTCGCCTGCTAGTCCTGCTAGAAAGAGAGGCAGTTTGACATAGCTGGCTTTCTACTTGAGTAATTCTTTTCAAGGAAAGTCTTTTAAGTATTGGAAAGGTACGTACTGAAAAAAAGACCCATTTTTGCCCTAAAAATGAAATCTAGAGGTTAGCCTACCAACTACCAAGTCTTTTAAACCAAACACCAGAACACATATATAAATCTGATCTAAGTTTTCCTCTCAAACATCATTTATCACTTAAAACTTAATAGTTTTTTACCCATTCATGTTTTTTTTCCATTAAGATTTTTGCCTCAATCTTAAAAATAAAATCCAACTTAATCATAAACAAGGAAGGTGCACGTCTCATTTACATTACACATACTAAAGGAGGTAGAGATTTGCAGTTCACATTCTGCTTTGTGCCAATTTAAAAAAAACTGAGATAAATTCAATTCATGACAATTTTGCTTGTTCAGCTGGCTCTTATTTAACTCTTCTGTTGGTATGCAGGAAAGTTTGCATTGACACCTTTTGAAAGCCTGAAAGTTTCTGTTCAAATTTATTGTTGTGTGCAGGCTTCCCTGGGCCAAGCTGTGGTTTATTTTAGGGCAGACTGATTGGCTTTATAAAAGGTATTTACATGAAATTCCAGAACACACAAGTCATATGACCAATCTAAAACATTCAGCAAGACTCGGTTATTTTAACACTCCTCCTTACCCCACAAAATTTTGTTTTCACGCTTCATTTCTTTCAGCATGTAAGTCTCAGCCACTGACCCATGCTTTTTACACTTCTACAGGGCTTCAGTACTTTTGCATAGTTAATACCTCAAGCAGATTTCCATTAAGGAGCACTCATAAACTGTAGTCCTTTGACATCATGAGATGATAACCTCCTTCAAAATATCCCAGTATTGTCTCCATTGTAGTTCCAGAGGCTTCTCACATTGCTGTCCTGGCTTGACAAAGACGGGGCAAATCTATAGAGACAGGAACAAGCAGTTTTAACAGCTATCTATAATGGCTCAGAGACCATAAAGAGTTAATTCTCTAAGCTGTATAACAGAGAAGTCAGTCTAGTCTGCTGTAGGTAAGACAGGGTAGCTGGACTGGGCTGAAATACCAGCTGGGGACTGCGTAGCTTCCCTAACATGCTATCCTAGGCCAAGTTACCATCTCATGAGAGTACAACAGCTCTCTGAGGCACTTTGCCTCCCCTTTTCAGTTCCTAGTTTGGGATCTCTCCTAACAGCACTATCCCTTAGTCTCCTCATGTCCTGCACATGGAGGAAGCTTCCCAGGGGCTGCAAGAGCTTTTTTATTGGGGTGCTCTCCTGCTCTTGCCCTGCTTCTGAACAAAGGGATGCTATCCTGCACACCAAAGACAATGGTCAAGGAGAGGTGAGCAGGGGTCTGGCTTGGTATAGTATTAATTCAAAATTCTTTAGACTCCTGTAGACACAGACTGGATTATTTAACAAAAGTCTCATTTGTCCCACTCAGTTGTTTGTTCCTATTTGTAGTATTTGGCTGTGTGAGGCAGACTGTTGAACAAGTTCTTTCAAAGCACAGAGTGTTGTCCTCTAATGTTAACAGCAAATTATACAAATGAGTTAGATAAGAGATCAATTCTGTAACATTATTATGAATCCTGGCAGACACATTTGTGAACGTAATACCTAGAAGTTCAGCATCTGGTTTGGCTACATGGCTGGCCTCAGGCGTATGTTTTTAGGATATAATTACTGTGGAGCAGCGAATATCCCTCATTAACATCTCCCTTCACTTTCTCACAAGTATCTCTTAAATGGTGGACTCTTCTATCTTTCTTGGGTAAGAAGGTGTTCAAAGGTTAGAATGTCAAAAATTGTATCAGAAATGGAGAGTGGCACACCAGTATTCTTTGCTTGGCATGTGCAGGACAGTCAGGGGATCAGGCTCAGCCAGCATGGGTTTATGAAAGGCAGGTCCTGCTCGAACAATCTGATCTTCTTCTGTGACCAGGTGACCTGCCTAGTCAACAAGGGAAAGGCTGTGGATGTCATCTACCTGGACTTTACTAAAGCTTTTGACACTATGTCCCACAATATTCTCCTAAAGAATCTGGCAGCTCATGGCTTAGACAGGTGCACTCTAAGCTGGATGAAGAACTCGCTAGACAGCTGAGCACAGAGAGTTGTGGTGAATGGAGCTGGTGGCCAGTGACAAATGGTGTTCCCCAGGGCTCAGTTTTGGGGCCAGTCTTGTTCAATATATTTACTGATGATCTAGATTGAGGGGATTGAGTGCTCCTTCAGCAGGTTTGCAGGCAATACTAAACTGGGTGGGAGTGTTGATCTGCTTGAGGGTAGGGAGGCTCTACAGAGGGATCTGGACAGGCTGGGTTGATGAGCTGAGGCCAATTGTGTGAGGTTCAACAAGGCCAAGTGCCAGGTTCTGCACTTGGGTCACAACAACCCCATGCAGCGACACAGGCTTGGGGATGAGTGGCTGGAGAGCTGCCCAGTGGAAAAGGGCTTGGGGTTACCATGAGCCAGCAGTGTGCCCAGGTGGCCAAGGCACCCAACAGCATCCTGGCCTGTATCAGAAATAGTATGACCAGCAGGAGCAGGGAAGAGATCATGCCCCTGTGCTCGGCACTGGTGAGGCTGCGCGCCTCAAATACTGTGTGCAGTTTTGGGCCCCTCACTACAAGGAAGACATTGATGTGCTGGAGCATGTCCAGAGAAGGGCAATCAAGCTGGTGAAGGGTCTGGAGAACAGGTCTTATGAGGAGCAGCTGAGGGAACTGGGGTTGTTTATCTGGAGAAGAGGAGGATGAGGGGAGAACAATAAGGGTGGGTGTTGGTCTCATCTCCCAAGTAACAAGCGATAGGACAAGAGGAAAAAGCCTCAAGTTGTGCCAGGGGAGTTTTCAAGGATGTAGAAGGCAGACACCAGAAAGTAAATTCCTAATTTGGAGAAAAATCTTTGCCCAGTTGATAGAGGTTTTCAACAGTCCATGCCAGTAACCATACTTAATGTCAACTTTAGAAATTAGTTGATGTGCACGGTATTGGTGCAGCATCCATTAACTTTGAAGGTAATAAGCTCCATTTGCTAAGCTGACCTCTGCTCAAGTCTGCCTAAAGATTTTGCCACAGACAGGACTAGAAGTTCTTTTTGCACCTCTGTCCCTCAAGATTTCCAGCCAAACTCCTCAGAGGCACTACTGTCAGGAGTCAAGATGAAGACAGAGAAACAAATGCTTTTATACTAAGCTAGTTTGTGCAACAATTCTTCCCCTTCAGAAAACCCCAGCAGCTCAGAGCTGGACATTGGCTGGAAGAAACACAGGTGGCAGAACATGCCATTTACAATTCAAAAGGTGCACATGTAACCAGCTGCTACCACCCTTCTCCTCCAGCACTAATTTGGGAGAACAGTGCCAGGAAACATTTCTGTTGGCTGCCTGGACACTACAGCACACTGACATCATGTAATTAATTTGCGATGCTTTATTGGTCAGATAGGCACATTTGGAAGGATGTGGATGGACACAAGATACATAAACAAGACCAGTACCCTGTCTGCAAGAGGTAAAACAGGAGATGCTGGTTTTAACGCAAGGCTTGCTCACTAGAGTTGCTACCAGACTCCTGTGACTTCATAACATCAGGTAGCTCCGGAGTGCTTGAGAAAGGGTCAATATACAATGGTTCAAAGGTGCTATTGCCAGGTCTGAATAAAGCCAAGCCCACCATGGCAGGAATGTGCGGATGGCAGCTTTGGCTGCTTAGGCCACAGTCTAGCAAATTCCTATGATCATCATCCAGCAGCTGGTCATCTTTGTAGAGCCACTGCTCCTCTGGTGGCCTCTTCAGTATTCCCTCCACCACATTTTTCAACTCATGCACAGTTGTTGTCTTTTGGGCCTCAGTGAATGTTGTTGTCTTGTGATGGTAAATCATCAAGAACACATCCATCACTACCCTAGGACTTCCCACAGTCCTCTGTTATTGCAAAACAGATTATAATCCCCTTCACAAGAAAACTGTATTTTCAGTAACAGCTGAAGTCAAGACAGAACTGTCATTAGATGAATGGAGCCAATGGGGACAAGGAGGGGAAAAAAAACTCCTACAGGGAGCTGCTCTGCAAGACAGAAAATGATCCTTATGATCTACACAAACAGAGCTAGTAAGTACTTAATGACTTTTGTTTTCCTAGCCAGATATCATCTAGCAGAGATCTTTTAACACTGTTACTGAGCATTTGTATTACTTTAGCTTCTTGCCTAAAAGGGTTTCATCCTCAGTTTGCTTTGGGCCATGTGCATCTACCCAAGATCCCAGGAGGAGCCAGGCATGCAGCCCTGACTGCACTCAGCACAGGAAAATGCAGCACACAAAATGGCTGGGCTTTCTTGGTTTCTAGTCAGGCAGGTTTCAGTCTAGACAAAGACTTCCTTGGCTCCTTCACATGTTCAGTAAAGTTGATAAATACAAAAGTGTTGAGAGTTGTCAAACTAATGGACGATGTTAAAATATTGTAGCCTTGTACTGCAATTCCAGGAAGTTAGTTGTCAAAACAGCTTGTTGGCTAGCACCAATGCTGATGGAAGAGGCTCAGCTTAGGAGTAACTCTTCTCCCTCAGGGCTTGGCTAGGGTGGAAGAGACACAGGAGCAAAGTGGGATGGAAGATTAGGGCTGGTAGCATTAGCCTAAAAGGGAGCCCTTCAAAGGCCAGCCATTTTAGAGTACTTCATGGTAGTGACAGAGTAGTTGCTTGTCACATGTGGAGCAAGTAACACCCAAGAAGCTAAAGGCTCACTTCAGCTCTGAAATGCTCAAGAGAGTCAAGGACATCTTCCCAGAGATGCCGTTACGAGTTCCCACAGAGAAGTTCAGGGCCAGCATGGGGCTGGCTCCATCTGTACCCACAGACATCAAGCCCTACTCCTAGGCTCCGGAAGAATAAATGCATTTCAGGGACTTGGGCTGCTTTTGTCTTTGGGATGAGAGGGGTAAGGCCCAGAGGTTTGTGAGCAGTTACTGCTCCCCCTCACCCCCCAGTTGGAACCCCTTCGAGAAGTGGAGCAAGACACTCCTTTGGATGAAGGAAAGCAGTGGCCATGAGCAGCTACCTGCAGGCCTGCACTGCTGAAAGAAGGCAGAACTCTTTCTCACTAAGTCAGAGGCGGGGAGGGGGGAGAAAATATTTAACCTTGTTTTTCTCTGGCATCTGCACTTTGATATCACTGGCACATGCAAGCTTTCCATAACAAACCTAGACTAGAGTTAATCCCTTGTATGGTCATTCAAGCTAGATTACATCAAAGATAGTAACAGATGCAATAACTCTGTTCTTCCAGTATTTTTTTTCTGTCTAGCAGGAAGACAGACACTGCTGTTCCAGTCTGCTAGAGCCCAGTTCATCCACCCCTGAGAAGTGACCCAGGGGCACTTGTCATCTCAGTATGGCCATTAACTGTCTCCTCCTGTCATGCCAGCTCGGACATGCACATGTGCCTCTTCCAGCTGAGGTTCCGTGTGCTTTGCAGTGTGTTCTCCGTGAAAGGGAAAATAAGGAGCAGAGAGATGTCACAAGTGCAGCATAGCCAATGAAAACAAGAAAGAGGGAGCTACTCTGGACTCTGACTCAGGGTTTATGTAAGGGCTAATCCTAGTACCAAAGTAAGGAAAAAGCAACATTTACCTCTCTACAAGGTAGTGGAGTGTTACGTCATTGTGCTAAACTGTTTAAAGAAAAAATCCATGCCTTCTGCATCAGCAGCAGCTAGAGAACTCAATTTTTGCTTCAAAGGAAGAGTGTTCAGAGACACAGCTAAGTTGGACAAAGGGGAGCATGCACATAGGCTAAATAACTTCATGTAGCTCAAGTTTAAAATAAACAAAACCCACACATATACAAAAGATCCAACTGCTATCTGCCCCAGACTGGTAAAGATGTAAACTGATCATGAAAGAAAGGGACAGATAATAGAGAAATGTTTTTTTAAAACTGCCATTAGGGAAAAGAATTGGGCAGGGTGCATTTGCATAACCTAAAAGCACCACCCAGATAAGTAGTGGCCACACTGCTGCTGCTGCGCTCATGGTAAGTGTATTCTCACTGACAAGGGCCAGGTCACACAGGTGGACTTTTGGGGAAAATATCAAATTTCATTAAGTCCACTTGGTTTCTGAAGAGTTGCACACACACATTAGGTAGGGTCCTACCTAATGACTCACTCCCATGAGTTCAGGCAAAAAAAGGAGGCAAGCAGTTGTCAGAGCCAGAAGGAACATCAATTTCCCTTACTAGCTTCTCTAAAACAGATTGACATGAATCATTTTGAAGTCAGGTCAGATTTATTCATGTTCTTTCATACAATTTTGAAGCCCACCATAGTGTTTAGGTGGTGCACTAAACATCCAGCAGATCGTGCCTAAAGCCATTAAAGGCTACTGAAGAATTGTTTTCAGTGTGAGCAAGTTTTAATGAAATTATGGAATTGCTATGCTAGTCAGAGCCTTGGAGATCTGGAACCACCATTCAGGCACCCCTCTGGTTTGAGGGAGGACCACAGCCCAGACCCTCCAACTCCAGGCATCTCCCCAGAAAACTCATCATCTTTCTGATTGGCAAAAGCTTCCCAGAGCAGAATTGCCTCCTTAGCTTGGCACAGAGATGCTATTTTAGCCAAGCTGCTACATTATTTGACCAGTTTAGTTTGGCAACTTCCCTGACAGACACAGGAGCTAGATAAACAGGGAAAAGTAGTGCTGGACATTCCTCTCACCTTCTCATGGACCTCAAGCTAAGGAGACCCATACATTAACTGCTGCGATACCCCCAGAGCCAGGGAAGAAACTTGTTTGACTTAAGTCAGTAGGCTAGAGCTGGGCTGCAAGCCCTTCCAGCACAACAGACCCCAAGGGAGATGGTACAGAGGGAAAGCAGCAAGCTGCCGTAGCATTCACAGCAGCAAGCTGTCATAGCATTCACATCTTGGAGTTACTCAACCTTCTCACGGATCACAACCATCAGCTAGGCAAGTACAGCTTAACCTTCCCTTAACAGAGGAACCCCCAGAGGACATTTCCTTAATGCTTCAGCCCCAGAAGGTAAATTCGTTTACATCTGCACAACAGAGAATCCTCTCTACTCCTTTGTTACCCATTTAACATGGAATACCCTGTTTGTCTCAAGAGGAAATTTCCAAGCAGGTCAGTAGGAACGTGGCCTCAGACAGGTTCAGCTTCTGCTTTGCTACAGATCCCAGAGACAACTCATTCAATATTACAGGCTTTCATAAGCATTTGGTTTCTTCATTCTCAAGTATGCAATCCAAGATTCTTTAAGCTGCCTTATTTATTTATTCATACTTTTGCAAGAAAAAAAGCACACACTGCATACTTTAGTACACAGCTCAGTTTAAGGAGGTAAAGCTACCAAGCATTTCTGGCAGCAACAGCCTTGGTCATACTACACTTCGGTTTCTCATTTTATAAGTATACTTCATACATTTGTCTACCTGAGAAACAGCAAGAATTATAACAAAGTTGTTAATACAGTTACTTCTCTTCAAGGAAGAAATGATAATTAGCTAGATTAAGTAAACTAACAATCTTAAGTAAGAGAATAATTTAGAATCCACCATGCCTTTCTAGTCAGAGATTGCTTGTTACATTCCCTTGCAACTATACTCTTATTAGAGATACTATACACTGTAACAGTTATCTCTCCTCAAGAAACAACAGAAGATTCATCAAGCATTACAGCAGGGACAGAGCAGAAGTGGGTCTGGCCTCTAGTTACACCGGACCCAAATCAAATGGTTTCAATTAAAATAAAACCAAATTCACATCACATACTTAAAGGCTTAGTACTGCAAGAGCTGTGTTATGCTTTCACCTTGTTGTGTCTAACGGCTAACAAAGTAATTTTGAGCAAATCATTCCCTTCAAATAGAAATTCATTCATTTAAGGATTACCAGAGGAGGAGTATTTTCTCAAGGCACTTCATTAGGTACCTCAACAGTTTCCTGCAGCAGAACCACACACAGAGAGCATAATCTACCAAAATCACAAGGTTAACACAAAACTTGACAGCTGTGCTGCAAAGCTAAAAGCAAACTACAACATAAGCTCTAAAGTTTCTTGCTAAATACACAAAAATAAAAGGAACTTACTTAAACTAGATCTTCTGTCACAACAAATATCAGTCTCCTCCTCCACAACTGTCCCTTTACTCCAGATCCCTCAAGAGACCACACTCATTTTGTCACTGCTCCTTTTGTTCCAAAACCACTTGCAGTATGCTTTGCTTCCTCTAGCTATTTGTAAATCAGTGGAAGCTAATGAGTTTGGCCATACCAGTCAAAGTGTCTCTTATTAAACCCAGGGTGTGCTGAAAGAGACAAGCTAATGGAATTAATACAACTCATTATGCTGGGAATCCTCTGTTAACTTTTAAAAGTTGTTATGTCTATGCTCCAATTCAGCAAAGCATTGAATCCCTACAGCCCTTGATGCAGCCGCAGGGTTCTGTGATAGTTTTTCTGATTGATTTTGAGATGCAGCCTCACAGACTGTGTGTTGCAACAGTCTAAAGGCACAAAGACCTCAACACCTATGGCAAGATATGTATTCAAAGAAATGTTCTGATTTTAGTGTTGCAGAAACAACACTGCCATTGGTGTCTGATTCCAGTTGTGTTAGAGGCAGGGCACACATACGGTGAAAGAAAACTGGAACTTTTTCTTTCTTTGCCTCTCTCGAGCCTTAACATCACTGTTGTTTCTGTCAGGAAAGGAGTCGTGAGTGGCAGTCATCCTGAACATTATGTTCATTTCTGGACTGAGACAACGCACAGGTCATCTAACTCTTGCTGCCAAAAAGGTGCTATCTGGTCACGATGATCTGCCTCTATTCCCCAGGCCTGGCTTTGCTTCAGCAACTGAGAGAGACAAAATTACA